CGCAAGTGTACCATTTACTGAAATCGCCGCCCAAGCTGACAACAGCTCCTCAGACGGCCTGATGCTGGTATTATGTGACCCTTCATCCTGTATTCCTCAGTCCCCCCTGTTCTCAAGCAGATCTCCCCAAAACCTGGGCGTCTGTCCCACAAACCCACAGCCTTTGTTGAGTCACACGTCCGTTGGGGGGGATCCCGGCACGACCTTGGATGGCCCCGGCCGTACTAAAGCTTCGGGAAATGTTCCTGTCGTGGGTCGTTGGCTGAGAACGTGCCGGACGTGGTGGTGGGGGGTGGGGCATAAGTGTTGGCGGGTTCGGTGCCAAAAAGCTCGATCTTCCGCATCATTTAACGCCGTCCGGTTAATACTGCGGGACAGAGAGCGAAGCAGAAAACACGAGAAAATGGGGCGTGGGTTTCCTGAGCAGAGTGACACACGGTCAGTGTCTTTGCGAACATTAAAGCTTTTGCACAATGGCAGCTACATGGAAAGCCTAACAGGAGAGAATGCTTTTACAAAGCAGTGTGGCAGTCAAGAGATGCTTTAATTAAACCTGTGAAAATAGGGGTGGGTACATTTGATGGGTACATTTGTTCACGGTTCCCACTAATGCTTAGTGAGATGGAATAAGAAGCTGGATATAACAGAAAAGGAGAATTTTTTTGCTACCAGTCAACTGGGCTAGTCAGTATAAAATGTCATTTTTTACTAGCCATTGGACTGGCATTCAGTACTTTGTACTCGCCCTCCGTCTAAATGGACCAACTTCTTTCCAGCTCTGGTTGCAGCCTTACTCAGGTTGATGTGTAGACCAGCACCCAAGATGTGAGTTTAATAGTTTGTAGAAGCAGTCTGTAGAAGGTCCTTCAGCTGTCGACAACGTGTCTGTCGAATGCAGAAGCATCATCTCCTGGTTTCACGATGCTCCGCTTAAAACACAACATATCAGAAATATCTTACACTGTCTGCATCTCAACTCTGCAGGGAACATTGGTCTTAGGGATCCATTGTGGGTGGGACTGTATAACCCACATCCCACTTGGTAATTTGTTGGTTCCCACTGGTTCCTGACTACAGTGGGTTCTGAAGCCTCAGTTCTGTCATCCTGGTGCCATTTATAGCTTAAATTTCAGCAGGTAGAATTTGATTTTTGACGTAAAAGGTTTGGTGGCGGAAGAGCAGGAAACTTTTTGTGGCTGGTGATAGATATGCTATGATTTGGACTCTTGCAGACATGAGTTATACATTTCTGATATGGTGAGAGTGTTTCTTCCCGCATTAAGACATCATCCTAGGAGCTAGATATGGAAACAGTGCGGAGGCAGGAGTGTGTAATGAGCCCAAAATACTTCCTGTGGCTTTTTTAATACTTTCTGACGGAATTTCATCAGTAACCTAGGAAAGGTCTGTGAGTTTCCCACCCAAAAATTGTCATCTTCCGTCTTTTGATCCACACCCAAGCCACATGCTGTGAAAATGAACGGATCTGCTGACACTTCCAAAGGAATGCAAATGGGACAGCTTTGAAGATGTTTTTAATGCTGCCGGTTAAATGTTAGATCTGCAGCAACTTCTCCCGCGATTCTGCGGCGTCGGTGACGGGACGTCGCCCCACTTCAGAGCCGTCGGCACATATGCCTCTGCTGCGATCGCTCCCCCTAACATCCTGTCTGTCAGGGGATGGGAGAAAGTCAGAAAGTAGCCCAGTGCGAGAGTTTCCACTTTCATGTGCCGGAAAATGAAATGAATAGGAATTTTCTGACAACCTTCAGTTAAATTGAACTACTTTGCCTTAGGTACCATCATCTGTCCATCCTCCAACCACTTATTCAGTATGGGGGTGGTGGTGTCTGAAACCTATCCCAGGCTGGTCAGAGAAGTAGGGAGGTGCATGGTGCAAGATGCTTTATTTACAACAGCAACAAAAACATTCAAGGTGGTGCTTGTTGATGGAGCCCTGGTGTCCCAGTAGGACTGGGCCATAGCAGGGGGTATAAGGAGATGGTAGCATCTTCAAGAGGCTTCTGAGAGAAAAGCACAGCTAGCAGTACAAAACCTTCCCTTCTGTTTGGGCAGCTGGGGGGGAGGGTACATGGTATTACTCTGCGCAGGGGCAATGTAAAGGGAGGAAGGTTAGGATGATCCCAAGGGCCTTAAAAATGTTAAACATAACTGAATTTGTTTGATATTCTTTCAATATGATATTCTTTCATGGGGCTCAAAAGCTGTCATGACTCTCCTGAGCCTGCGTCTGCTCCTGAGCCTGCGCCTGCGCTGTGCTGTCGCTCAGGGGAAAACCCTGGATGGGGTACTGGTCCATTACAGGGAACTCACAGACACTACGGCCCATTATAGCCTCCAGGAGAAGTCAGGGAGGGCTGCGTAACACAGGGAGAACATGTGAAGCCCACACACTGAGCTGGGTCAGCATTCGAACCCCCAACCCTGGTGGTCTGAAGCAACAGCACCACCCACTGAGTCACCTGGGAAGAAACACTAAAATAGTGTTCATTGTTTTCAGATTTACTTAGTTGTTTTCCTGTATGAAATGCATTCATACTACAGTAATGCTCTGGTTATATGTATTTGACAAAATTGCATTTTACTTCTGCAGTTTTTATAATTGAATGTACAAATACTGTATACGCACTTAAACACAGGAAGAACAGACAACGGACGGATGGATAGACAGACAAACAGGCATGTGGCCAGATTCAGGCCTGCAGGTCCCGAGATGAACAAAACACTGTGCAAACTCCATCTCCAAGTTTGAGGGTTTAAACCCCACCCTGTGTGTGTGTGTGTGTGTGTGTGTGTGTGTGTGTGTGTGTGTGTGTGTGTATGGAGGCAGCGTTTTCACTCTTTAGCCTGCAGTCCAAAGACACACAACTACTTGAGTTTGTGTTTCTCAATTGTCCCTACTGTCTAATTGTGTTGGTATGTGTACAGTATATGCCCTACAGTGGACAAAACATATTTTCATTTACACAAAAATGCATGGATTATTCAGGCAATGGCCAAAATAACCAAATACTTCAGTAAATGAAGGATTCACTGTGTTTTGCATAGCAGTTAAAATTTACAAATAACATTACATCATGCTTTGGGTCATGTATACATACACTTATACAGGTATGTCGAGACTGAGTGTCACCATTTCAGAAAAACACTGTGTTCATATTTTAGATGATGGTGTTGCCTGTGCTGTTTGAAAATCAGTAATTTCACACTGTTGTTGGAACTATTTCCCACACATTTGGGAAAAGCCCCATCCCATGGTGCCTAAAATACACAGAATTTAAATTATAAATTGCACACATAACAGTGTAAATGAATGAACTCTAGTCGTGTCTCTAGCCAAACATCATTACTTGTAGGTCACATTAAGAAGTCTTAGGTGATTAATGGTTTTCCATGTTAGCACTCTGTGCTTTTTAGATTCCTGCTGTTTTTCCATGTCCTGATTATTATATACAGTGTTTACATCTTATTTAGTCCTGATTATTATATACAGTGTTTACATCTTATTTAGTCCTGATTATTTCATACAATGTTTACATCTTATTTAGTCTGATTATGATATACAGTGTTTACATCTTATTTAGTCCTGATTATTATATTCAATGTCTGCATGTAATTTAGTCCTGATTATTACATACAGTGTTCACATCTTATTTAGTCCTGATTATTATATACAGTGTTTTAATCTTATTTAGTCCTGATTATTACATACAGTGTTCACATCTCATTTAGTTTGATTATGATATACAGTGTTTACATCTTATTTAGTCCTGATTATTATTATATACAATGTCTACAAGTTATTTATTCTTGATTATTATATAGAATGTTTACATCTTATTTAGTCTAATTATAATATGCAGTGTTTACATCTTATTTCGTTTAATTATGATATACAGTGTTCACATCTTATTTAGTCCTGATTATTATTATATACAGTGTCTACATGTTATTTAGTCCTGATTATTATATAGAATGTTTACATCTTATTAAGTCTGATTATGATATACAGTGTTTATATCTTATTTAGTCCTGATTATTATTATATACAATGTCTACATGTTATTTAGTCCTGATTATTATATAGAATGTTTACATCTTATTAAGTC